CGAAAAAAAAAAAAACAAACCCAGCTATTGAAAACTCAGGTAATTTTTCTTCCCTTATATATATATATATATATATATATATATATATATTATTTGACTGTACGTTGAGTCAAAGTGGACCCATCAAATAACGTGTATTATAGACACTTTGGACTTTGGAGACTGGGTTGAAATTTTCACCCTTGTTCCCGAAGCTAACTTATTTTTTTGTTAAAAGGAAGCTTCCTTTCACGTTGTCTTGAAACTTTGAAAGGGCTCACAAGAGCTCGATAAAGAAGAAAGCAGAACATATTATGGAGGGGATCTCTCTACAATTGAAAGTAATTTCCTGCAGAGATCTCAAAACCTTCAATTTCTTCCAAAAGCTCTCAGTCTTTGTTGCCGTCTCCATTTTTATTGATGAGCCAAAGAAGAATGAACAACGGCGAAAAAAGACGGCAGTGGACTTTCTTTATGGTGTATTGAAGAGGAACGAGAAGCAACAACAACGTCTGCAGCGGCAAAAGACACCTCCGAATACTTTCAACGATGAAGAAAAGAAGAACGAACAGCAACAACTTCTGCAGCGGCAAGAGACACCAGTGGACAGAGAAGGAGGTAGCAACCCTACATGGAACCATATGATGCAGTTTAATCTCAATACCCCTTCGCTTCCTGATTACGGTGATCATCTCTTTTTCAAATTTGAATTGCGCTGCAAAGGTTCCATCTTTGGTAACAAAACTATTGGGGAGGTTTGTGTTCCATTCAAGGATTTGAATGAGGAGTTCAACGGCAGTGTCAGGTTTGTGAGCTATCAGGTTCGAAATAGCGATGGGAGGCCTAATGGTGTCCTGAATTTTTCCTATGAGGTGAACGGGAAGGTCAAGAGGAATGAAGATGATGGTCCAAGAGTTGATTTGCCTCCAGGAATTCGTTTCTCATCACCTAAAAAAGTCCATTATCCATCCTTGGAAGTCGATGTTAAGTCGACGAAAGCATGCTTATATCCTTCCCTGGATGATATCAGCTTCAGCTCTCCTTCGCCAGGAACCGGGTTTCCTTCTACGGAGTTGTGTTATCCAGTAGAGGCATGTTATACTATGCCTCCGCCAGCCTTTCCTTTACAGCTTCCTGTGGGTCACAGAGTGTATCAGCTTCAATATCCATCACCATTGACACAGTCTCCAGGTTCACATTGCTACACAACAAAGACAACCGAGCATGGTTGCGGTCTTCGTGGGCATTCTGGAGGTTGGGCAATTAGGGATGTTAATGTATAGCTAGTTAGGTTAGTGTTAGAGAGAATGTTGATGTTGATATTCTTCAATAGCAGGCTGGTGCCTGATGTAATTTCATTTGTGTAAGAAACATTCCACTCTGCCAGGTAGTTAGGGACATGAGTTCTAATTGTTGCTACGCTAGACACGTTACCTACACACTGCTCATGTCTCGTTGATCAGTTCGTACTTGATATCAAAGGAAATGCTAGCTCTCTTTTCTCTCCATTTCCTTTTTGTGCAGAGCACTAAAATTTGCTTTCATGTCACAAACAACAATCCTGGATTGCTACTTATTTGGTGATTCTTCACCATGGCTTGAAGCTTTTGAAAATAAAATCTAGTTCAAATCTTCTGATGCAAGATTGAGAGAACTCAAGCTGCCCAAGTCATGAGACTTGAATTAATTAAACATGAATACAGACTCTCAGATTTGACCAGACCCAGAGGGGCTACTGGCTATCAGGGGGTCCCCTAATCATCAACCATGAAAATTTGGAGATAGAAGTCAACTCAAGTGTGATGTTCTATCTCTTATTGTTGACTGCTTGTATACAATGTATATTGCATGAACTTGGACTAGTTCCAACAGGAATATGACGGCAGAATCTTTGACAGGAAATACCAATCATCATTGCATTTAGTATGAGACTTTGATGGCAGAAGCACTGCAATTTGTTGGACCAAAACTCAATGCCCATAAGCGTTGTATCTCTGCAAGAGGACAGCTTTAACTTGCCTTCTACACATGATTGGAGCAGTAAAGCAGGCTCTTCTTGCTGGATTAATTAGAAACAGGACTTTGGCAGTTCCATTCTATTTTCCCCATTTAATTTTTTTCAGTTATCTGCCGTTCCCTTGTTTATAGAGAACAACTTGATGAAAAAACTGGATTAATGTTTTTTCATCAAGTTGATCTCCATATGACATCACTGACGAGACAGAGCAACGGTGAAGAAACATAAGTCAGCACAATCTTGAAATATAAAAATCTATGGAGAACAACTTGATGAAAAAAAAGGAAAAAAACCACAGCTCTTATCATATCTCCTCTGTGTCCATCGTTTTCCCTGTTTCCCTCAAAACAATGGGAATGGAAATTTGACCTGTTTTTGTTCAAGGAATATACAAATAAATAGATTTTGTTTCCTCTGTACACGCCAAACAAATTGGATTTCAATCCTAGAATCATATTACACATATGCTGAATCAAGGGCTGAGGGCTAGGGTCGCAGCGCAGCTCTTAAAGTGGTTGACACAGCTTAATCAGTTGACTTCTCAACATAAATTTTATCATTCCACATTTGATCCTTGCTTCAATAATATTTAAACCTGGCCGGTTGAAGATTCGAGTTCTAGATTTTAACTGAATTATAGAGTTAATTTTTTCAAATTAAAATGATGTCATTTTTTTTTTAGAAAAGGATATTAAATTGCACTGAATCTTGTCAAGTCAATCATGTTATCTTGGATTTTTTTTTTTTTTAACTTAGCTCGGTTTCAATCTCAAATCAACAGGATCTCAGATCAACTCATCGAACTGAATTTCAAAACTATACTCACTCCAGTCATTTCCGTGAATTCATTTTTTAAAAGAGGCAAAATAGTAAAATAAGACATTTGATTTTATGTCAAGAGACGTTCATTAACAATATGGCACAAGGCCGATGTACAAATGGGCTTACATGCTCAAAACACTTCTGGACTCACCGAATCTATTTAACGAAAGTCCCAACAAAGGATTTATGTTAATCGATCAAGTACCAGCCCAAAAGCAGCCCCGGACGGAATGTTTCTCACCGACTACCTCCTAGTTTTGTACATTATATTCAGAACTAGATTCTCATGGGTATTGATTAACGCTTGCATCAAAGGAAAAATGGCAGGTTTGCTACGAGTCAGAGGCATTTATGAGTTATGGCTGAGACACTGTGTAAATGATAAAACTATTCAGAAGTTACAAGTTCGAACCCTTTCGATTTGATAGCTTTACAAAAAGAAATAGCTGAGAAGCATATTTTCCATGGGGTTCTGAGGTGCCAAAACCGTGTCAAACAGCTAGTTCCAATCGAAAGAATTTAAATTAAAGCATCTAAAAGTAGTTAAAGCAACTGCATTCCCTTGTTTTTGTATTCATTTGCTAGACACTTCACCACCTTCAACTTTTCAAAGAACAAAGTAAATACAGCGCAACCTCAACTTGCTTTTTCTGCGAGTGCCAGCCGAAAGTTTTCATGTTCTGGGTTCTTTTCCTTTACCAATAAAGTAATCGGAAAGTTCGCTGTTTCATTTTCTGTTCAAAATTCTTCTACGAAGCAACCACAGGCTAACCATGAAAAGGTCCGTTCTGCTCAGATGCACCGTTTACAGTACATCGATCCACCCCCCACCAGGAAAAAAAAAAAGGAGGGGGGGATATTGGGGGTCACGTTGCTTGGGAAGTATGATGCTTCCTTTTATCTTTAGGGAGTTGAGAGAACTTTCATGGAAGATTTCGTTGTGTTAGCTAGAGGATCTGAATATATTTTTATTCTTTTCTCTTGAAATATATTTTTTGAAAATGAGTATTAGCGGATTATAATATAAATGATAGGATATTACCAAACTTGAAAATGATTTTAATTTAACCCTCATTTAATTTATTGAAAATTAACTTCCTATCTTGCACTTAACATATTAAGTTACATCAAAATTAAAATGTTATGCCATATGTGTATTGATAGAGAAAATGAGAGAAATATTTATTTTATATAGACACCAAGAAAGAGAGAAGAAATAGTAAGAGAGATAATAAAAAATATATTTTTGAGATTAGGTGAAAATGTTCTTATTATTTCTTTAGAAGTCTAGATATGATTTTCCTTTTATTTTTATATTTGTATCTTTCCTCAAAATGAATTTATAAAATGAATATTAGTATGTAGTTACTTCTTGTTCTAATTTTTTTTTTTTGTGTGTGTATTCTTAAACTAAACATGCTTATTGTAGCTAGCCATCTATATCCTATTATTAGAATTTGGTCTGAGTCTCAATCTTGCTTTTCACCTAATACAATTGGGAAATAACACTGTAATTTATCACTTGTTAGGCTGTCATTTACATGATTCCTCTAAATTAAGAAAGGTTCCAGGCATCCGTAAGTCCCTAGTTTTTTGCTTTTTTGTTCCAAGTTCGTCCCCTGGTTTTGTTGTGCGGCAAAGTTGCAAAAATTCCTTTTCTTGTGTAACAAAGGCAAAAACAATGGCAGTTCGAGTAGCAAAGGTTTCCCTTCAAAAATGTCCAATGCCCATTTAGTTTTCTACAGCCCACGCCACATTGAACGATACGAAAAGCAACCTTTATCAAGGCTTCAACTGATATGTATCTCTGTGATCGTTTATGGCATGCACTTTGCAATTTGAATAGTACCAGGCTAATTTTTCACAGAAGTTTCGAATAAAGTTAATTTCTTCATCAATCAACAACTTCTCATAATTGCTGGTCCCTTGTGGAAATGTTACTTCCTTCAAAGGGAGTATCAATAATGGTGTCATGGGAGATAATTATAATACAAGAACTGCAGTGCTTCAACTTGTTTTATCAGCAACTTTTCACGAGCACCCCGACTTTCACCTACTAAAGGCCTTTCACTCCTTTTGTTGGTTAAAGATGCCGCCTTTGGCCATTGCTCCTGCAAAACTTGCATGGCTTTAACCCAGTCGTTTGGCATTGATCAGGAAAGGAATTCCACTACCTTTTGATTTGTAGGACTTGTTAATTACCACATTCCAATAATTGGTTTACGTACTAATTATAACCTCACGTATAGCAAGAGGATTTTATCACCCCTCCAGCCAATAGCCTTATGCCACTTGGTTGTGTGAGAGCAGATTGCTACCCCATGAAGCTTTCTTTTTCTCTGCATTTTATCACCCACCTTCACCCCACTCCCAAAAGCGCAAACCAAAAGCAGCTACCTTTTGTTTTCTATATAAACCACTTCATGTTTCTTTTGCATTCCTTCATGCTGAGCACTGCTTTTAAAAATCCTCTCTAATATAGTACCTCCTGAGTTTTTCTACGTCCTTTCAGCTTATCATTAGATCCAAACTTTTTAAGACGACTTTGAAAGAAATCAAGAAAATGAAGAACAAAGCTTCTGTTTTCTTGAAAAAGATAGTGTCGTTGTTGAGTTCTGTTACGAAGGCCAAGTCCTTGGCTATTAAGAGCAAGACAAGCGCACTCAAAACGCGCGCTATTATGCTCTCTTTGATGAGGAGCAAGAGGGTTTTGGTGGGTTCAATCTCTAACAAGATTCATAGGATTCTTAATCAGCCTGAAAAGGACAGCGAAGACGACGACAATGGGGACCAAAGCAGGGCCATAGTTCTCTACCGCAATGCGATGGCCAATGAGTCGCTTTCGAGTTGTTCACAAATGGCAGGCACTGGTGATGATCAAGCTAACAATCATTACTACTGTTATGATGATGATAAGTACCCGGATCTTACGCACTCGCTATTCGATGAAGATGACTTTGAAGATCCAGGTGGTTCTATCATTGATTTGGTGAAGAATTCCAAGGAAGATGGAGAAGATTTCAGCTTGGAAGATGAGATTGATCATGTTGCAGACTTGTTCATTATGAGGTTTCACAAGCAGATGCGTTTGCAGAAGCTGGAATCATTCAAGAGGAATCAAGAGATGCTTATGAGACGTGATTAATGGAAAATGAATGATCATATTCATAAGTACTACTGATGTTTAACTTGATGTTTTAAGAGCCATTTGCTCTTCTTCTTCTTCTTTTTTTCCCTTATTGCTGCTCAATTACTTGCTCTTTCAGCACAAACAAAGGATATGTACGCTAGCTGGAATTCAATAAAAATTTCTAATAGAAAATAGAAACTATAAAATGAAATGAAACTATGTTTAACTAATGGGCTAGGTTCTCAAGTATTTTGTTAGGAGAATCCGATTGTCTACAGAATATGCTCAATTTCCCAAGAATAATGATGTGATATATACATTATAGGCTTGGTGTTTTGAGCCCTAATATTGTAAATTGAGGAGAGAAAGAGAATCCAGGGTCACTGGCAGTGTACAATCTCTCTTCTTTGAATAAAGATGTATTAGACTTCTATGAACCAGATCTGATGTCTTAACTTTCTGACATTCTTTATCAACAGAAAAAATTCTGATATGTGGATGCATGCCATTTGCATTGATCACGGTACAAGTCTCGTCTT